ATTAGTTTGTAATAGTCTTTTCCTATACGTTTCTTCAGTTTCCAAATTCAGCTTGTAGCCTTGGGCTTCCCAGATCATTTGCCCAATCAAGTATTACAGATGGTCCTTGACTTACAAGAATGGAAAAACTGACTTATGACCTTTTTTAACACTTAAGACCATTATAGCTGTGATCCTGTAATCAAAATTTAGACACTTGGCAACTGCAAGCATTTATAATGGTTGCAGTGTCCCAGGGTCATGTGATCACCTTTTGAAACCTTTTGACAAGCAAAGTCAATGGGGAAACTTAACAGATTCACTTAACAACCGTGTTACTAAGTTAACAATTGCAGCAGTGGTGGGTTGCAGGCGATATGCCCCAGTATGGGCGTACTGGAGCCTGTCCAGAGCACCGGGTACCTTTCCAGTATGGTGCTCCAGAGGGCCCACCCGCGTGCCCGTGCTCCTTACCTGTCTTTAAACTCTTCGGCACTTCCACGCATGGCACATACAGCGCCTGTGCAATGCTCCACCAAGCAGCTGGAGCCTCGTGGAGGCGTCACTGGATGGTAAGAGGCATGCGCGCGCTGCACATGTGTGCGTGCATGTCACACACATTCATGTGGAGGATGCCGGGCCCCGTTGCAACTGTACCGGTTACAATGGGTTCCGGAACCCACCACTGAATTGCAGTGACTCATTCAACAACTGTAACAAGAAAGGCCGTGAAATGGGGCAAAACTCACTTAAAAACCGTCTTGCTTAGTCACTTAAATTTGGGGATCACTTGTGGTTTTAAGTAAAGGACTAGCTATAATTGCAATTAATTCTATTTACAGTAACTTTCTTTTTTCTAGAATGGTCACGTTCCTCTAGGTCAGGTTTTTCCTAAATGGTCAGTATTGATTCCCGAGGGTCAATGGGACCATCAAAGGGGCTGTTGATGCTGTTGTTATTATTAGTTAAAGTAGGATTCATCAAATTATTTTCATGTAAGGTTGGAGCCTAGTGAACAATTTGAAACTTCATGAAAGGATCAATGAGCTGAAGGGTTTGAGGATCCCTGATCTAAGTGAACAATGATTTATTGTTTATGCACAAGGAGACACCTACTTATATAAGCGTCCATGTGCATGCTTTAAAACAGAGGTCTTCAAACTTGGCAACTTTAAGACTTGTGGAGTTGAAGTCTACAAGTCTTAAAGTTGCCAAGTTTGCGGACCCCTGCCTTAAAACATTGCATCTAACATAAAAGTATTTTATAATCAAGGAAAACTTAAGCCAGAAGAAGCTGCAAGTTTTTAAGGTGCCACAAAACTTGATTCCAACAACATTTAGAGTACTCATATCATGAGAAAGATAAATTGCATTGCATCACACAACATTTTAGGCATGTATGTAGTATCGTGACACAAATAAAAAAGGTGTGTGGAACTTGCATTAGGCTGTGTCCGCCATCAACCTAAATCCCCCATTGCCCCCATTTATATTACTGCTTGGTTCTGATAGATTAATTTGACTAATTTTGGAACTATTTTACACATGGTATTCAAAGGGGAATTAAGCTTTCAATGTAAGGTATCAAAATTACTTTAAATGTGTCATGGAGAAGAGTTAATATACATTTATGAGTCTAGCTTATATAATTTGATACTTGATTAAAACTGAGTCAAGTTCTAAAGGGTTTTTGCCTTTTTTAAATTAGGAAGGTACAATTTTGCTCAAAATCAATATTCCTGCTACCAATTTGTTTTCCCTTCTTGACTTCTAGAGCCATATTTTCCCCTGGCAACAGTAATTTCAAGTTTCCAACATTACAGAGAGGTGTGAACAACTGCATTTTTAAACAATATGTAATATACAAGTGAGAATTAAATAAGTCTTGCTTGTTGGGCTCCATGTATATCTTGTGTAATGACACCATCAAAACTGACACCAGACAGAGCATAGAGCAACTTAAAGAAGTAGTGCAAGATCAGAAGACGGGGAGAGACCTGTCTATATAATTGCCAATATTTGGACATGACTGAACGGATAACACCATCCAGGGACGTGCAGTCAGGGGAGGCAGGGGAGGTAGAGCCTCACCACGGTCATCATGAAAAGAAAAAAAAAATGTAAAAGGAAAAAGGCAAGAGCTGAGGTCAGGCTGAGCTAGTTGCTGCCAGAGTCACCGTGGATGACTCTGCTTAGTGCTTAACTGTTTAAAAAAGCCTCTAAAAAGGTGCCTTCTACAGGAGGAGGCGGGAGAACGGGAAAGTGTGTGTGCACTCCAGTATGGCTCTTTGACTGGCTTCCTGCCTCCTCCTGTGGCCTCCCTGACTCCCTCCAATCCAACTTTGTGTGTGTGTTTGTGTGTGCGTTTGTGTGTGTGTGTGTGCTTGTTTGAGAGAGAGTTTGTTTGAATGAGAGAGGGAAGGGGGTAGGAGTGTGTGTGTGTTTGAGAGGGGGGAGGGAGGGAGAAAGGGAGTAAGGTGGGGAAGGGAGATGAAAAAGAATGAAGAAACTTATTTAGCAAAGGAGAAAAACAAATGCTGTCGCTTTAAATCAGAACGGAGCATGCCTGGCTGTGGAATTCTGGGAGTTGAAGTCCACAGGTCTAAAAAAATTGCTGCCTCACCAGCCATAAACCTCACCGCATGTCACTGACACCATCATTATCCCGTATATGCAGTAGTTCATTTATTTGGTGTTTCTTTGCAGTGAAATCATGAAGGGCTATTTGATTACATAATTGACTTTTTATAAGTTCTTGGTTTCTTTGTTTTCCATTTTCATATGAAAGTATACAAATTAATTAGGAGCTTACCAATTTCATATATATATAAAATTAAAACTTCACAAACTGGATCTTAGCACAATGATTTGGTATCAAAAATATCAGTTATTTCAATCTTTCGTATGGACTTCAGCAACCAGAATTCTCAGCAATAGCTAAATCTGGTTATGGAATTGAACTGAACACATTGCCCAAGTTTAGCAAGACTGAACTGAATGTCAGTTTTACACCATCTGAGACTTGTTGTATTCATTGTGTTTCCTCATCATTTAATTGCACTGTATTATGTTCTGGAATTAATGTTAGGGTTAGGGTTAGGGTTAGGGTTGGGGGTGGGGCTTTGATTTATTTACTAAATTTAATGCTACAAAACTGTAATCCAACATGATAGTCTTTCCCTTTCTCAGTTACATGCACTGTTTTTTTATTTGTATATGCGCTGTCACTTTCTTGTACAAGTAGTCCTTAACTTACTGCCATAATTGATCCAAACATTTATGTTGCTAAGTGAGGCAGTTGTTAAATGAGTTTTGTCCCATTTTACGACCTTTCTCACATAGTTGTTAAGTGCATCTATAATTGTTAAATTACTAACACGGCTGTTAAATGAACCTGGTTTTACCATTGACTTTTCTTGTCAGAAGGTGGCAAAAAGTGATCACATGACCTTGGGACACTGCGACCGTCATAACTATGAACCAATTCCCAAGCCTTCAAATTTTGATCACATGACTATGGGGAGGTTGCAGTGGTTGTAAATGTGAAAAACTATCGTAAATCACTTTTTCCAGTACCGTTGTAACTTTGAACAGTCACTAAATAATGATTGTTAGTCAAAGATTACCTGTGTGTAGAAAAAATATTCCATGTGATACCAGATCTTTTCATTTTATCCTTCCTGATACCAGATGGGCTCAGATCTTTTCATTTTATCCTTCAAACAATTGTTGTGATATAAATTGTTGAACTTTGATATGCCTTGAAAAGAAAGAGAAGATATAATGAATAGGGTGTCTATTTTGACCAAGACTTGTTGTATTCTGCTCTGGTGTCCAATCCTTTTGACTGAAAATTCAGCACCTCTCTTTGAATGATAGTGCTGACTGATTTCTAGTGTGGTAACCTTTAATGTACACCCTCACATCTGAAAGTGTATCAGTGGAGGTTGATTTGTGAGCAATTATTTCTTGAGATTTCACATGTAAACAAAAGATTTACATGGTATTCCAAAAAGAGAGAAGGAGCTATTTCTAGTGTGGGGAATAATTTCAATCATTCAAGTCCAGAGTTACATTATTAAATGGCTTTATTAATGTATCCTGCCCTTAGCACAAGGATAAGCACCTTGTTTCTGTTGAGAGATAGAGTATCTCAAGAAGAATCTATTGAGAGCTGCATGGTCGGTGATTGTATAGCAAGTAGAGAATGGATACATCTATTTTCTAATCTGTATTCAGGAAGATATTGGATAAAAGGATCTTGATACTTGAATTACAGCTAATCAATGAGTAATGGGAACTGTCTACATAAATTAGATAATTCTATGAAGACTAATAGTGTATTGGCATCCCTCAGTCTCAAAAGACTATGGTATCGTGGAAGACTAATAAATAGTACTAGGAATAGATAGATAATGATGATGCTGTACCAAAGAATATACAGATAAATCAGTTGGGTGAGTAACTAATTTGGAAAAGGGAACACTTCACCAATGAGATATTTTCCCAATCAAAGCTCTGAATTGATTAATATCCAGGTAACTTTGTAGTTAGCTGGCAAGATAATTTTTTTGGCGCACCTGTGGATTTAATCAATTGAAAAGGTACATAATTTATAAAAAGTTAAAAGTGGCATAACAGCTGCAAGAATATATATTATTAACAGGTATAATTTCTTCCCTGAAACTTATTTTTTACTGGTGGTCCTTGACTCCCTCCCCCCATAAATCAAAAGTACAAACTTTTCTGACTTTTAAAATGTCTAAACTTATTTTCAGAATTATTCCTTAAAATAATCTTCCCTCCCTCTCCCTTTCTCTCTCTAAATAAGCTTCAGCTTGCTGTTTATCCAGTATGTCAGGTTGCATTACACTGGATTTAACATGTACTTTTAAAATAAGCTGTAACGGATTTTTTTTTGTTAGTGCAACTTTAAGGTTTACAGCAAAAGCATTTGCAAATTACATAATACAGTGTTGACTCGTAGTTTCTCATCTTTGGATATTATGTATTAATCATAGATGCACTGAATTTAGAATATATTTCAACTCAGAAGAGATGTTGTTGGACGTTTCCTAATCAGTTCTTCTTGGGTCAAAGATGGGAATTCAAAGAAAAACTCTTAAACAGCAAACGGCATCCCTCTAAAACTGAGTATGGGCAGAACAATCCAAGGTAAAGTAAGCCTATTTTTACATAAGGACTGTCTTTATAAAACGTCTTATAAAATACTTTTTCAATAAAACCATTATTAGAAGGTGCTGTTAATGCCCTTAAAAGTTGTTTAGTTTAAAAGAGTTATTAAACTTACTAGAATTTCTCATTGGGTAATGTTTTAAAAGAAATAGAAAGGAAAAAAACCAGGATGAAATAAGAAATTGATTTAGCAAAGTAAGTCAGTGGGCTTTTGAAAAACAAAGTAAGCTAGTATGACAAATGTAAAGAGGCATCATATTTTCCTATCTTTCTGTTTCTTCTTAAAGTATGTTGTGAATCTGGAACATTGAATGTAACCCTAACAAAGTTCCTATGGTAACTAATTATGCAACCAAATGTTGACTGTTAGATAAAAATACATATATTTAGATTCTATTGCCACAGTAAATTGGCCATGTTTTAAAAAAGTAATCAATGGAGCCTATCTTTTTGAGGAAAGTATTTACACCTGTGCTCTTTTCTATTTTAATTGGCATTGCAAATGTACAGTTAAAAGTTGTTTGAATATTGGTATTGCCAATTTGTGATGGTATGTGGAATGACTTTCAAGGGAGGGGAGATGCTACCTAGAAAACAGTCAGATAAAAGCGGGTGCAGCTCACAAAATCAAAATGAGCAGAGAAAAACTCAGAAAGGAAATTTCCTAACTTTTTAGATTACAAAAAGAGATGGTGGAAGATTTGTACTTTCAGACTTGCAAGATTCTGTTAATGAAGACTTGTAGTCAAGTAGAATTGGCTCATCTGGTCATGTTTCCCATCTGGTCTACCTGAGAAGGCTGACATAATTAAATATAAGGACATTTGCTGCCATTTGTTCATTTAAATTCAAAACCTTTGTGAATAAATTGAATGTGAATAAACTGATTACATTTATTAGTTTCACATTCAAGTTGCATATATATATATACAAATTGGAAGTGAATATGTTAAAACAAACCAAATTGTCAGAATTAGGTTTACAAATTCAATAGATACTGAGGTGTAATAATTATTAAGTCTGTAACTTATCCCATCTTGCTTATTTTTTATGTATTATAGTCATCTAGGTCCAATGGATTCTTGTTCAGAAAATCTTTGTTTAGTTTACATTCATTTTTATTAGCTTTAACTGTAGAGTTGTTCCTGACTGAACAATAATCAGCAGGATATGGAGAAATGAAATTTTGAAGGTGATCAAAATGTTAGATTGTCAGTATAAGGAAATTTGTAAAGCTGGTCAGAATTAACACCTTATAAATGCCTTCCAAATGTAAAACTTCCAAAATTCATGTTGGTTGTTAATGCTGGGATTTCTGGAGATAGTAGACCTAAGACCTAGAGCACTGGTTGAGAGAAGGCTTTTTCTAAGTATTTTCAGTAAGATTTAGAGAACAGTACAAAAAAAAAAAAAACCATGCAGGCAGATTTCTGTTCCCTTGACAAATGGAAAGTAACCCTCCCCCCCAACCTTTTGAATTATTCTTGTAGGTCACCAAGGGCAGGGAACAGATTTAACCACCTCCGTGTCCTCAAATGCACCCACATAACTTTTCCTGTTTAAATCTCTCGGGTTCATTTCAACTGAGAAATAGTAAAATAAGAGCAGAGATCAAATCAAAGACAAACGTGCCCATCTTCTATAAACTAAACACTCCAGTAACAAGGATGCTATTGAAAAAGAATGTTTGTCATGCCTGCTGAAGACAGCACCAAAATTCTAGAGGAAATTTGTCTGTTTTAGAATAGGAAGATAATGCAGTATTTGATCAGGGCATTTGTCCCTCGTTATTATCTTCACCCAAAATCCAGAAAAAGTATCTCATACCCAGCACCCGCAATGTCATCTTAACTACGCTCAGTACTCCCACAAGTTAATTATCACTCTCTCTGGCTAACTAAAAAAGAGTACAAACATCAGCATCCAGGCAATTTCCTCCCCCTCATCGTTGGCCCACGTCATTTGTTTCTGCAGCAAGGAAACAAATGATAGGAAACTTGGGATTTACAAAGCCGCCCCATGCTGAAGTGATAGCAAGTTTTTCCTGGCACTCTGATGACACCACTAAGCAAAGAGAACCGGAGTAACAAGGTGAAGTCAGAATTCTTTCCCACAATTTGGATATGGTTTTTTTGCCATTTGTTTGGGTTGCATAGTATCACCCCCGGAAATTTAGACACGGTGAAGATCCAACTGAGATTCACTTGAGAATATCTGCATATTGTTTAGTTTAGTTTAGTTTTCCTTTATTTGTATGCCGCCCTTTTCCCTGGGGGGACTCAGGGCGGCTCACAATTCACAATTGTCCCACAGTAGGGGTGAAATCAACTTATCTTCGCTACTGGTTCATAAATATGAGTGTGTGCATGCACAGAGCGTCAAAAACAGGACGTGATGATGTCCGGGCTGGTGGGCAGAGCCACCCGCCACCACCACTACCAGTTTGCCTGAACCGGCTGAATTGCACCACTGTCCCACAGCCTTTATTTAAAAAAGATATCCAGTATATTGAAGAACCAGTAAGAAAATACAGAGGTTTATTAAAAAAATGTATGAATGGCTAAGGAGACCACAAATAAGAGAATAGAAACAGAATATTTCCAAGCCATTTGATTTTAGAAATAGCTTTACTTTTTTATGAAAAGTGCAATTCTGTAAATTTTTCAAAACATAAACTTGACCAATGATGTAAATGGATGTTGCATCCAGAGGTTGTGATGTGTTCTTGATGTACTTGGTGCAAATGGGACAGTAAGGAAAATGTTTTTTTAACTTTTATTTTATTTAGTGAGCTGAGATGGCACAGTGGTTAGAGTGCAGTACTGCAGGCTACTTCAGCTGACTGCTAGCTGTGGTTCAGCAGTTCAAATTTCACCGGCTCAAGGTTGACTCAGCCTTCCATCCTTCTGAGGTGGGTAAAATGAGGATCCAGATTATTGGGGGCAATAGGCTGACTCGGTAAACCACTTAGAGAAGGCTGTAAAGAACCGTGAAGCAGTATATAAGTGCTATTGCTGTTGTTATTTTAAAAATCATTCAGTTCTTGCTTGCAACAAACAAAATTAAATTATAAACTTACTTGGAAAAAGATTATTAAAGTACTGGAGTGTTGGTTTTTTTAAAAGCAAGTGGTACAGTGGTCAGTTTAATTATACAGTTTAGGATTTGAAGTTTAAATCAAAGAGCTTAAGTAGGAATTGTCACTCAAGAAACTATTAAACAACAATATAGTATACTCATCAGAACAAATAAAGAAAATCTAAAACAACCATACAATAATAAAATTTACCACAATCTCATGAAAAGGACAAATTCAATGGGATATCAGTAAGGATGCTGTAATCTTGAGGAACTTGGTGTTCTCTTGAAATTTCAGTAATATTTTTGGAGGAGCGGGAGTTCTCAACTTTGCTCAAGATCACAATGTGGTTCTCATGATATATTTTTAAAAGCTGTGCAAGAATTCCAAGAGCCAGGATAGTGATAGACAACACTATCTGTATAGTCACTCCCTAAGTCACATTGACTGATGGCACCAATGCCAGTGATGCAAAGATTTACATATTTAGAATAATTCAGAAGGGGGGTAGTATTGGCATCCTCTGAGCATCGTCGCCCAGCCTAAAGGCAGCCTTGCCTTGCTATAAATAGGTTTGTATTTTGGGGGGGAAGATAGGGTTTTCTCCTACATTGTTCCCTAGCAAATGGACCTTCTGAAAAGCTGAACTGACCCCATTTCTCAGTGTTCAGAAAATATATAGTTACGTCCCTTTGCCAAGCTTTTAAGTTAGAGGATTTTAGTATTTTATCTTTTTAGTATTTTCATTATTATTTTGAACTTGTTTTACTCTGCTTTAAAACACATACTACACACACAAACACACATCCTTTGTAAACCACTTGATTGTTCACAAGACTGGTGTATAAATAAAAAGAGTAATAATAATTTATGTATGTATTAGAAAACCAATAGGACATATAGATTTGTATTGTACAAGTATTGCTCTTTTTTAAAAATAACTATAGGCATCTTGCTGTAGACAGTTCTTAATTTGAACCCTATCATGCATTGTGCTTGAGGAGTCTAACATCTTGGAATTTAGGGAAGAGATCATGGGAATATATAACAAAGAGCAGCCCTATTATTGTCTGTTAGCATTTGGGCTTGGTATGGTGGTTTTTAAATGCAGTAGTGGAAGGAAGAAATTTTATATTGCTAGTCTGATTCTTGATAAATGCATGTTTTATTTAAATAGCATAAGAATCTGGATTTTTAAGCAAGTAGCTTGCACACATAGTAATAGTTTAACTGGTATCTCTCTTATAAAGTTTATTATAAATTTATATAATCTCAAGACTGGGTGGAAAACTTTATAGAAGAATTTTTTAATCTGCATAGTCAATTACTACAGATTAAATTATTAATATAGATTGTCCAGTAAACTCTGTGATATATAATAATGAAACTGAGACCGTTCCTTTGTAAAAATGCTCAAAATAACAAAGGGAAGCTAAAGCCTATAAAGTTTCAACTATGATTCTCACAACATAATCCCTCCTATCTTAATCCCAGTAGCATTGCTGGATTTGAGAAAAGCTTCTTGTTAATAATTTCCATTGTAAGAGAAACAGCCCTAAAGCTAGGAGTGCTGATGGAGCTAGAACTTAAACTTTAGGGTAATTTAAAGTAATCTAGAGCAGATGATACTTTGAATGAGAAATCATACAAAATAATTTAAACTGAGAAACAGGGCAGCAGGATTTTTATTGTCTTCAATTAGTAGTCTTCTTACTTCACTTCAGTTGATGGTTTCCCTTCCAGAAAATAAATCCCTCAAGGAAGAGAAGAGACAAAATTTGTGCAATATTTTTAGAATAGTAATACTAAAGCTTTACTCCAAAGAGTTTATATTGTTGAAGGACTGGCAGATTCTGCATCTGGAATATATTCTGTGCTTCCAGCAGTTGTATGAACTTGT